TCTTCACTGTATTTGTTATTTTTCCTAATTTGACAAATATTTAAAAATTTTCTATGTGCCAGCTCTATAGATTCATGTATTTATATACTTTATCTACCCATTACACTATTAACTTTCTGAACACAGAATTTTATGTCTAATTCAGAGTAACCAACTGTAATGTCTTGCCCATAGTTGGCACTCAAACATGGTTTAAAGGAAGGAAGGCATATTATTTTGAAAAGATGGCTGTATGTGGGTTGGAGATAGCTATAATAGTAGGTATGAGTCACCATAAATGGTGTAGTGATCAGAGAAGGCTTCAGGAAAAAAGATGGCATTTGAGAGGGGTCTTAAAATAAATATAGCAATTAGAAATTGAGACAAGAAAAGAAATATTTCAGTTGACTGGAATACAGGGCTCAGAAGGAAAGCAGAAAAAATAAAGGTTGAAAAAAACTTGAAGTCAGACTGGAAAGGTTTTAGGTCCAAGGCAAAAGGATCTGAACAGTCTTTGTAGGTAAAGAAGAATGACTAAAAGTGCTAGAGATCCTGCTGATACATAAATGGGAGTAGGAAAGACCAGAATTATTGGCAGGTTGGACAGAATTAAAAATTAAAGAACTGAACCGGCCTCCAATTGGTTTCCAGCTTCCTTGCTCCCAACATTTTTTTTTCAATTTTTGTTTTTCAAATTCTGAGTGGATGACCATGTTGCCTGAGCAATAACCAAACTTCAGTTTTAAATATACAGTTGACCCTTAAAAAAAAAAAAGATTTTAGGGATCCCTGGGTGGCGCAGCGGTTTGGCGCCTGCCTTTGGCCCAGGGCGCGATCCTGGAGACCCGGGATCGAATCCCACGTCGGGCTCCCGGTGCATGGAGCCTGCTTCTCCCTCTGCCTGTGTCTCTGCCTCTCTCTCTCTCTCTCTCTCTCTCTCTCTCTGTGACTATCATAAATAAATAAAAATTAAAAAAAAGATTTTATTTATTTATTCTGAGACACAGAGAGAGAGAGAGAGAGAGAGAGGTAGAGACATAGGTAGAGGGAGAAGCAAGCTCCCCTGAGGGAGCTCGATGTGGGACTCGATCCCTGAACTCCAGGATCACGCCCTGAGCCAAAAGCAGAGCTTAACTTCTGAGCCATCCAACCATCCCTACAGTTGACCCTTGAACAACACAGGTTTGAAATGTGCAACTCCACCTATATGCAGATTTTTTCAATAAATTCAGTATAGTATACTTTTTCTTTTCCTTATGATGTTCTTAGTAACATTCTCTTTTCTCTAGTTTACTTTATTGTAAGAATATGGTATTCAGTCCATTTAACATACAATATATTTAATCAACTGTGTATGTTATTATCAAGGCTCTTTGTCAATAGTAGGGTATTGGTAATTAAGTTTCTGGGGAGTCAAAAGTTATATGTGGGTTTTTCAACTACACAGGGGTCAGTACCCACCCTACCCCTATCTCATCCCATTGTTCAAGGATCAACTATATAGTAAAATCAACCTGTCATATTTCAGGATATTTATAAATAGTGATTACGATATAAATTGTAAGGAAGAAGAAGTAGAAAACTTCTGATACTCCTTTCAAGGTGTCTACTATCCCACATCTCTGGCCAAAGTGTTTTAGAAGGTAAGAACCATAAACATCTCCTTCCACACCTTGTTTTCAAAGTTACTATTTTTCAGCCTCATCTCTGTTAGACTCTGGCAAGTTTCCTGCTCTATTAGTTTGCTATTTTGAACCTCCAAATTTAGTCTATAATTCAAAAAGTGGATGGAGTTAGTTTGACAAGAGAGACCACGATGTCTGTCCACTTCACTGGAAACCTGGACAAGAACACAGCTATCCTCTGGGATGCCTAGAACATCTGAGCAATAGAACTCGTCTTACTAGAGTAGGAAAAATATCACAAATCTAGGAGCTTTGCAATAAATCCTGCTCTTGCCAATTTGTTTACCCACTCTTTTGGGACTGAGAAGTCAATCGAACAAGCTATAGATTGCAGTGTCTTCTGCTATCTTTCAGGATCAGACTTATACATAGGGTAGCCCGAGTGGTCATAATTGAAAGGTAAATCACTCACCAAAAATATCTTCTAATACTATCTGAAATCCACTGGTTAGGGATTTGAGTTGAAAAACAAACAAGATTTTAGAAAGGTGAGAGGGGACCTTGCTAACAGGCTCTGTATTAGGAAAACAATCTGATTAACCTAATCCATACAAACAGAATGTAGGTTTGATTTAGGGGGAAGAGATAAGGAAGAAAGTCAAATGATAGAAATCTGTGAGATCACAGAAATTCTGTGAGATCATTCTGGAACGCTGTATATTTCCAAGGAGAAATCCAGGGAGGATCAGAAAGAACTAAACAATAGAACGAGGGCACTAGAATCCTGAAGGGTAGCCAAGCTAAGAAAAAGCAAAAAAGAGCCATAGCTCAGGAAGTTTGGTGAATAAGTTCCAAAGGTTGACTTTACCTTGAATTATTGCCAAGGTCCTCATTTACTCCCAATAGTTCAACCCTGCTCTTACTTTCTGTGGGAGCATCCAAAATGAGGTGGAATGTACCGAAACCTGAGTGGGGAAGTGTGGCCAAATGAGGCTGGGAGTGATAGATGTGGAGTTGAAGCCAACAGAAGGTTTCAAAAATGGAGCCAAAAGAACTAGAACCCAAAATGGGATCCAGTTCATTAGAATAACAGGTATTTGGGGACTTTTCTGTTTCCCATCCTAAGTTTTATTCAAGTTGTTTATGCTGGAAATTCTGAGTATGCCTGGGTTAAAGAAATACGTGATCAGCAGCCATCATTCAGAATTCACCAAGCTCCAATAAAACTGCTTCACACTTGAGTTCAGAAAATGAAAACTGCAATAAGCAGAAATTTGTAGAAACACAAACAGTGAAAGTTAGTTTCCCCATAAACATTTCTAAAACAGATAATTACACTAATTATTTTTGAAAGTTCTTCAAGCCCAGGGTAATACATGTATTTGGAGGAAAAACAACATACCACCACCATCTGTAACTGCCACTGCTCATTCCCTTCTCAAGAGATGTCCAGTCCTGGTGAAGGCCTGCTCAGACAAGGCATAATATCTTCCTTCTCCCACAGAGCCAGTGACATGACTCTTCCAAGGTACACAAGCCCATCTGCTCAACTCCAGTCTCCTCCCCTCAATTCAACAGCTTCTTAATCTACTTTGGGCATAACTATCTTTATGTGGACTTCTACTCCTCTGCCTTTTTTTTTTTAATGTATAAATATATTCCAAATCCTCTCCTACAGTGGCAGAGGCTCTCTTGGATGTTAACCATTTACCTTTCAGACATCTAAACCTGCCAAATTGGGATCAGTCTTTCTATTTCTAATCTCACACTATTCCAAAGAGGTTTAGAGAAGTTATGTCAGCTTTCTTATTATTTACTTAGATGAAATACTGCACGCTCTCATTCCAATCACAATGCACAGCTTTTCCACACTGTTTAAATTAAGATCAAAGCTAACAAAGGTTCCCTACTCTTTTTTCCCACCTGTATAGTTACCTTATCCAAGTCTGCTAACTGCTATAAAAATTTGGTAATAGCCCCAGAATTTGAAAAATACAGCACTGCTTGTACTGTCACACTTGCTAAAATCCTTGCTTCTTCTATTGCATTGATTATTCTGTGACTCAGTATCCCCATTCTTTATTAACTCCTTCTACTTTCCATGCTGCAGTCTCCCTCTTATAGGTAGACAAGTCCCAGCATCATTCTTTTGCAACCAACCATAAACTCTGTTCTAGAAGTCACCATTCTTTTCAACAGACCCTACTATGTAGATATGCTCTAAACTTTCTCTCCTCATTACAGCACTATGTGACACCAATAGCATCATCTAGTTACACTTGCACAAGTCCCAAATGCTTTCATATTCATTTTCCTCTCTTACTTGAGCTGCTCAACATCTTAGAGAGAAACCATATTCCTTCCATTTTATAGATAAGGAAACCAAGATTCTGTAAGGACTAGATGACTTATTCTGAGCCAAGCAGATAATGTAAAATTAGCTAGAGTCAAGACTTCTACTTCTCTTCCCAACTCTTTCCCCATGCATATTTCTGAGAATAAACCTAAATGCCAAGCAAGCCCCACATGTCTGGTGTAAGTCTGACAGGGCATGTTGCGGACCCTGTGAGAGATACCTCCTTTGGTCTCTTGGTTTGTATCACTATTTTTACCCTATTTCCCACTCCTAGCACCAAATCTTGATACATAAACTCACCCCCTCCTAATTTCCCTCAGTCCTACTTCTAACATGTTAACCAATTTCTTTTTGTTGTTATTCTGAATAGTCTTGCTCCTTCTATACCAATAACCCCTCTGTCAGGAGAAAGGACGCAGTCTTCTCTTAACCAAAAACTTCTAACACTCTTTGGCTTAGAAGCCACAAACTCTTAACATAAACTCTGTATAAGTGTACATTTATTTATGGTTTTGGGTCCATGTTCCCTGTCCTTGCCTTCTCCTGCCATGTTCGAAGTTATCCATTTGAGAGAGTAAGCTTCTGGCCCAGAAGGCTCTAGTTAGTCAGTTGTGGGTACCACCCAACACAATGCCTTGCATTCACAGGAGCATGAACATTGCCGATTATGATCATTTTTAAAAAAAATAATAAATTATTCCTGTCCTTGATCTGAAATAATGACAGAAACCAGCTGCCAAAACCACTAAGAGCATTGTTTACTTCAATTCAGAGTTACTGAATAGGAATTAGCTTAAAAGAGTTGTAAAGTGAAAGACAAGGACACATTTGTTTACACACAGTCCCAAAGGTATAAAACAAAATACTGAGTAATTTGTTATTAGTTTCTCATCCACAACAGTCCAGCTCTACTGCATAGCAAGGTCACCCTGGGTAAGAGTATCCAAGTTACCAGTATTCCCATTACAAAAAGGTAGTCATCAGCTATTCCAAATGCTTGTGTGCTCTAGAAAAGCAACAGCTGGTTGCATATTACTTACCGGTTTATCCTTGATAGTGGGGCTTGACACGCACAGGTACAGCTTCCCGTCTTCTTCCAGGCAGGCATCTATCAATGCTTGTACTGAGCTCTCCTCTTGGAACAGGAGAAAGGCATAGCCTTGGGAGGACAAAAACAAAAGGTTATATAGAGAAATCAGTACATTGAACTCAAGGTACCAAATAAAAATTTACCTGTTGTTTCACTTTGGTGAATTCTTACTAAAATCCAAGAACATAAAATGGGACATAGGGAAGTAATAATCACTGAGGCCCTCATATGCCAAGCAATGGATTAAGTACTCATAGACAATATCTTGCTTAATTCTCATAATTGCTCAGGGGAGCAAGTTCAGAACTCTATGGAATTTCCATGAAATACAAGTATACCTCATTTTATTGTGCTTCATAGATATTCAGTTTTTTAAACATTGAAGGCTTGTGGTAACTCTACATTAAGTAAATCTATTGGAGCCATTTTTTTTCCAACAGCATTTGCTTACTTTGTGTCTTTGTGTCACATTTTGGTAATTCTTACAATATTTCAAACTTTTTCTTCATTATTATTACATTTGACAAGGTGATCTGTGATCAGGGATCTTTGATATTACTATTGTGATTGTTCTGGGAACCATGAACTCGGCCCACATAAGACGGTGAACTTAATAGACATTGCGTGTGTTGTAACTGCTCCACTAACCAGCCATTCCACTGTCTCTCTTCCTCTCTATGGGCCTATTTCCTGAGATACAACAACAGTGAAAGTAGGCCAATGAATAACCAAGGGTCTTTAAGTGTTCAAGTAAAAGGAAGAGTCACACATCTCTCACTTTAAATCAACAACTAGAAATGATTAAGCATAGTGCAGAAGACATGTCAAAAGCTGAGAGAGGCTGACAGCTAGGTCTCTTGAGCCAGTTAGTCAAGTTGCACATGCAAAGGAAAAATTCTTGAAGGAAATTAAAAGTGCTACTCCAGTGAACACATGATAAGAAAGCAAAACAACTTAAAAAAAAAGATTATTTATTTATTTATTCATGAAAGACACAGAGAGGCAGAGGAATAGGCAGAGGGAGAAGTAGGCTCCTCATGGGGAGCCTGATGCAAGACTCGATCCCAGGGCCCCAGGATCACAACCTGAGCTGAAGGCAGATGTTCAACCACTGAGCCACCCAGATGCCCCAGAAAGCAAAACAGCTTTATAGCTGATATGAAAAAAGTTCTAGTGGTCTAGATAGAAGATCAAACCAGCCACAATATTCCCTTCAACCAAAGCCTAATCCAGAGCAAAGCCTTAACTCTCTGCAATTCTTTGAAGGCTAAGAGAGGTGAGGAAACTGAAAGAGCCAAGTTGGAAACTAGGGGATCCCTGGGTGGCTCAGCAGTTTAGTGCCTGCCTTCAGCCCAGGATCCTAGAGTCCCGGGATAGAGTCCCACGTCGGGCTCCCGGCATGGAGCCTGCTTCTCCCTCTGCCTGTGTCTCTGCCTTTCTCTCTCTCTCCTCTGTGTCTTTCATGAATAAAAAAATAAAGTGTAAAAAAAAAAGAAAGTTTGGAAACTAGCAGAGGTTGATTCATCAAGTTTAAAGAAAGAAGTCATCTCCATGACATAAAAGTACAAGGTAAAACAGCAAATGCTGATGTAGAAGCTGCAGCAGGTTATCCAGAAGATCTAGCTAAAGGTAATTAATGAAGGTGCCTGCCATAAACAGCAGCTTTTTCAATGTAGATGAAATAGCCTTCTATTGGAAGATAATGCCATCTAGGACTTTCATAGCTAAAGAGGATAAGTCAATGCTAATCTTTAAAGCTTTGAAGGACAGGCTCACTTTCTAGTTAGGGGTTAATATAGCTGGTGACTTTATGTTGAAGGCAAGGCTCATTGATCATTCTGAAAATCCTACAGCTCTTAAGAATTATGAGAGATCTATTTTGCCTGTGCTCTATAAATGGAATAAAGCCTGGATGACAATACATCTGTTTACAACATAGTTTACTGAATATTTTAGGCCCACTATTGACCTACTGCTCAGAAATTATTTCAAAATATTATTGCTCATTGACAATATACTAGGTCCCTTAAGAGTATTGATGGAGGTATACAGTGAAATGAATATTGTTTTCATGCCTGCTAACCCAATGTCCACTCTGTAGCCCATGGATTAAAAAGTCACTTCAACTTTCAAGCCTTATTTTTTTTAAGTTTATTAACTTATTTTAGTAATTTCTACACCCAACCCTTGTTGGTGTAGAAATTACTAAATTTGAGCCCACAAATTTAGAAATTACTAAATTTGTGGCCTCAACCCCACACCTGAGATCAAGAGTCACATGTAACTCCAACTGAAACAGCCAGGCACCCCCGTCCCACCAAGTCTTATTATTTAAGAAATACATTTCATCAGACTATAGCTGCCAGATTCCTCTGATGGATCTGGGCAAAGTAAATTGAAAATCTTTTGGAAAAGATCCACTATTCTAGATGTCATTAAGAACAATCATGATTCATGGGAAGAGGTCAAAATATCACCATGACAGGAATTTGGAAGAAGTTGATTGCCTAGTGCTAAGGACTGGGGAGACTAGGTACAGAACTTCTTTTTGGGGATGATGAATATTTTCTAAGACTCATTGTGGTCATGATAGTGGCATAACTCTGAACATACTGAAAACCACTGAATTTTACATTTTAAATGGGTAAACTGTATGGTATGTGAATTATATCCCAAAAAAAGTTGTCCAAAAAAAGAAAATAATAGCCTAGTGTTTTTACATGTTACTTCTGATGATGATGCTTGCTTTCTCCAAGGATACTCTCTTATCTCATGGCAGAGTATACAACTGATAAACAGGGGCTAGCTGCAGAACTTCCATGGAGACAGGCAGCTTTGCTCACTTTGATTCAGTAAGATTTACTGAAGCAACTGTTACAAGTGGGACACAACCTATGGATTATGAGAAAACTGAGATGGAAGAGAGTAGGTTCCTACTGTCATGAGCCTTATGTAGTAGAAGAAACAGACATTTAGACAATGAACTATTTGCTACAAAGCTGAAAGAGATACATGGAGACAAAAGGTGCCATGGTAGCCCAGAGGAGCAAGGACTCTGACTTCAGAGAATCAGCAAAGACTTCAAATAGGTCAACAGATGTTTCAGGGACCAATTTTATCATCCATTGACACATCAGCATTCATGTATGGCAGCTGGGCAAAGGCCCATCACAAGCTAGTCTAAGTTAGACTATTCAACCCGTCTAGTTTTGCTTAGTCTCTCAGCTGTCATCTCACTCCCAGTCCTGCTACTGACCTCAAAAAAACGTATCACCAGTATGGTTCTACTCTGATGCACTGCATGCCAGAAAGGTGTAAATGGTAGAGAAGAGTAAGAACTTCCATATTCAGAAGATTCTCATGCATCAAACAAAGATGTTAATTGACTGGCCTAGAGCAAAACTCTTGGAGTCCTGGGCAACACATAATGACAGTAGCAGTAGATAATGAATACTGGGTACTTAAAAAAACAAAACAAAACAAAACCTTTTTCTCAACCTTTTGTCTACTATACAAAGTATTCAAGTAAATACTGTAGAAGAAAGATCTACCACTACCATCCAAACAAACACAGAAGGAAAAAGATCAACCATTACTTGACAAACCAAGAGTGGCCAATGCAACAGGCAGAAGTCAACACAAACGGGACAGCACTAAGCCCACAGCAGTGGGTATGTAGATACATCAAGGAAGCTGCCTACATGGGAGGACCCAGAGCTGTTTTCTGGGCTCTGCCCCCAGGCTAGATGGGTCAAAGGATTCAGCAGGTGGCAAGGCAAGAAAAATAAAACCTAACAACAAAACTAGAAAAAATGTAATTCCTTCATATCCTTTCTCTATTGGAAATAGTATCAATCACCAAGCCCCAAAAAATATATTAAAAACTCAGTGTTTTCATTTAATGTGAGAATATTAATTCCACTTGCCAAAGTGAGTATTAGAGATGAGTGGGTTAAAAAATGCAAATCACAAAGAGGAGGTCTCAGCATGTTCTCTCAAACCTCCTGCCTCATCACATTACACCCTGGTACAGATGGTCTATAAAGGTCCTCAGAGGCACACTGGATATCTTGTTCTTGGAGAGGACCTCATCTGTGTACATGAAGCACAGGAACATCAAAAAGGCCTGGGGAGGGGCGGCTGTGTGGCTCAGTGGGTTGGCTATCTGGCTCTTGATCTTGGCTTGGGTCTTTTTTTTTTTTAGTTTATTTATTTATGATAGTCCCACAGAGAGAGAGAGAGGCAGAGACACAGGCAGAGGGAGAAGCAGGCTCCATGCACCGGGAGCCCGATATGGGATTCGATCCCGGGTCTCCAGGATCGCGCCCTGAGCCAAAGGCAGGCGCCAAACCGCTGCCCCACCCAGGGATCCCTTGGCTTGGGTCTTGATCTCAGGGTCTTTTTTTTTTTTTTAATTTTTATTTATTTATGTATGATAGACACAGAGAGAGAAAGAGGCAGAGACACAGGCAGAGGGAGAAGCAGGCTCCATGCACTGGGAGCCCGACGTGGGACTCGATCCCGGGTCTCCAGGATCGCGCCCTGGGCCAAAGGCAGACGCTAAACCGCTGCGCCACCCAGGGATCCCTTGATCTCAGGGTCTTGAGTTCAGGCCCCGTGTTGGCTCTAGGCTGGACATAGAGCCAACTAAAAAGAAAAAAAAAAGGGGGCTGGAAATGGGGTATGCACATTGAGCTGGGGCTTTCTCCAGCTCCTTGCCACCAGAAGGCCATCAGGCTGACTGCATTTTCTGGTATAGTGTTGCCCATCCTCTGAAATCTTCCACATTAATTCCAGCACTAAGCTCAATTTGTGCATCGCAGAGGAGAGGGAGAGTATCTCCCCATAGCAGATGAGTAGTTACTATAAAAGCAAGCAGATCTTTAATCAGGCCTCTCTTATAACCATAAATGTTAACAGTAACATAAGACAGAGTAAAAACAATGGGGAGTCAGAAACAAAAACCTGCTACAAATATTATTACCAAGAAAAATATCTACAAACAACTTCTCCTTTCCCAAGCAATGGCTCATAATACTTTACCAATTTCTTCAGGATAACTCTTACAA